TGAGTTATCTGGCGGTTCTTTATCTATATTGTTGCGGTATTCTTGTTCCAAGTATTTTTTTTGTCTTGTTTTACTTCCTTTTGATTGTGCTATAGTACATATACATGTATCTGGATAATTTAATCAACTTCTGTTTCTGTTGCTTTGTACGTTGAGAAATTTCGTCTCATCTTAGTCGATATTATGTACTATCCATAGATCATATTGCCTACTGCATTCAAAGTTTTCATGTCTTTGAAGGTTATGGGTTGTTAATGATAATAATAGATTCTTGGTCAATTATGCGCTAATAATACATCGTTATGCTCCCGTAAATAATTGTTAAGAGACTTTATACCTTAGATCATTACAAAGAGCTGGACTAGTTCTAACGAAGTAATCTTGTCCAATTACATGTATAAGCAGCGATTTAGAGGCTTTTATCTGTGTGGCATCGAAATCAGCTATTCTCTTTACTTCATTTATTTTTTATCTAACCTTATGTGCATCTTGTTTTGTCCTTTGTTGCTTTTAGGTTGCTCTTTTTCTTTAGTCTTCCCAATCCTTTAGTTGTTTAACTTTTAAAGTTGCTCTCTTTTGCTATGCCTCAATGTGTCTTTTGAGAATCTTGTTGGTGCTCTTGTCACTTCCAACCAAGGCCATTCTGAATTACTTCTTCAGTGGCTGCTTCTGATAATGCAAAAGGGTCTGAAAAATTAACTTGGATTGATCCTCGTAAAAAGGTCGTCGATGAGAGTACGCTCATAACTGTCGTCTACTTATACTCTATATTAAGAGAAGCCTCCCTTTTAGTTTGCACGAGTCAGCATTCACATGGAAAAACTACAGCAATGCCCACTTGCTTCGAAAAAATTCGAAACTACCCTCATATTTGCGGGGAAAAAGTTTTAAAACATCTAACAAATATCTAACAAATCATTCATTCCCTTTCATAATTCGACTACGACACTCCTCCATGTTCTGTGTCATGCACATTGGGGTATTAGTCTTTGATCAAACTTCACAGATGGTGCACGCATCTTGTCTTTTTATGTCATTGATCAAACTTCACAGATGGATGGATAAATTTTTTGATATTGTTGTATTTGTCTTACCCATGTTTCGTACTTCCTGAATTTCCATCTTTATAATTGTATGCACATGTACTCTTATATTGTTGTAGCGATCTTACATGTGTCACATGAATCCTGAATTGTAATGGTCATAATTATATGCACATGATGTGCACGCTCTTGTCTTTTTATGTCTGTGTTATATGTATCCTAGATTTAGAAGTGTGATGTATCTGCATGCTTTTATTGCATGTCCTCAAGCTAGTGAGTATGCGTATAGAAACTGCTGAGAGTGGTTCGCTGACTTGAGCTTTCTGGCAAGAGGGACATTATGCTTAGTTTTTGTTATTTTTTACCCGCCCCCCCCAACCCCCCACACAAAAAAAAAATCCCAAAAGAAAAGGAAAAAGGAAAAAGAGAAAAATCAAATAAATAGACGGGGGGGGGGGGGGGGGGGGGGGCACTTCAAAGAAGTGGCCTCAAATTGGCCTGCACGGCTTTTAATTTTTCCCTCGGCAAAATCCTCCAATAAGTGTCTCTTGCAAATTGGAGGATCTTATCACCTATCCAACTGTGCTCTCCGCTTGTTTTTTTCCGAGGCTCTCCTCTTCTCCTTGCTTTTTGGAGGGTTCTCTGGGGAAATTTGAAAGTTTTGGGGGTTATTTGAGACTCTTTAGAGTTTGGGGGTTTAGTGGGAAAAATAAATTTCAGGAGGGTTTTGTGGGCAATGCGCAAAGGTATGGTTTTGTGAAATTTACCCTTGATAATAAATTAGAAAACAAAACTATAATCATCAACTATCACTTCTACTTTGATTTTTGGGGTAGTGGAAGGGACCTTTAACATGAGATTAGAGCAACCAGTTCAATTCCTAAGCAAATTAAAAAAAAATGTCTACGTGAGTCCTGATTTTACCCCATAATAAAAAAGACCCCTTAACATTAGGGGTGCATTCGGTCCGGATACGGCTCGGATATGATGCTTACCATATCCATATCCGCTTACCCATCTCGGATACGGATACGGATACGGATATACCTCGGTAAGAAAAACTTATAACCATATCCGCTAAAATCGGATACGGTTACGGATATACATGCGGATATATAAGCGGATATGCATGCGGATACAAAACAGATATGAGAAAACTAGATAGTATTGAGAAAAACATAGTTCATGTGATACAAAAAAGTTCGTTAATATGTCCATTATAACTAAATAGTTAAGATTAGTCATCTTGATCATCAAAATTAACCACAAATCCATAATCTAAGAATCGAAACTATCGTAAGAGTATGACTAATATGTATTCGGATATTTCGGATACGGATACGGATATTTCACTACAAAATCATATCCATAACCATATCCTATCGGTTATAGATTTGAGTAACCATATTCGTATCCTAACGGATACGGTTACGGATATTTTATCGGATACGGATACGGTTTAGCACCCCTACTTAACATGCAAGTTAGAATATAAAACTCTAGCCCCACGAAGTCTCACCGCGAAGTGTAATTGAAGGGACCTTTAACAGTGTTATATTTTGATTCTTTTGTAGCAACCTAACAGTAAGCAGTGCAGATCCATCGGAAACTCTCTTTGTCACTGTTTTAAAAATCCTCCGCTTAGTCCCCTAAGCCTAGATGGTACATTGGCCGTCTAACTGGCGCCTAACACCTGGATGGTACCTAGGATGCCCATTTAGGTTTTATGAGTGTCTAGGAGAGCATTGTCTGTTTATGTGAACTGCACCCTTTAGGCTTTGAGCGTGATTTTCTATGTTGCAGTCTTCACGTCCTCCAACCTCCTTCCAACTCCTTTAACATCCAAATATGAACACTTCCACTACCTTCTCTAACCTTCAGCAAAACCTCCTCGATCACCACTTAAATAAATAAAAAAATCCGCCTAGACATCAGTCCGACACCTAAGCTTTATATAACATTGATATTTGCTATCATTATTATAATTAAAAAATTAAAAAATAAAACCTCCTAGGCTATAGGTGTCGGGTTCAATGTTTAGGTCTCCTAACGCTTTCTAAAACCTTGTTAGTTATTATTGTGGCTATTTAATATATAAGTATGTATGGTTTGTTATGGATCTAAGATTGCTATCTTTTTTCTTTTTTTAATTTATATGAATTTAATATATATTTTTATTAATTATTATAATTAAATAATTTTAAAAATAGCATGTAAACTAGAAGATGTATTTCATGGTCTAAACTTACTAAGCATATTCTGGACAAAATTTCATGGTATATGTTATTTGTCGATGATATAGTGTTAGTTGATGAAACTAGAAGAGACGTTATTTTTAAAGTAGAAAGATGGAAACAAGCTCTTGAATCTAAAGGTTTTAGAATTAGTAGAACAAAAACAGAATGTATGGAGTGTATTTTTAGTAAAACTAGGAAAGAAAAAGAGCATATGGTACATATTTATGGCCAAGAAGTACCTAAGACTAATCATTTTCGCTATTTAGGATCAAACATTAGGCATGATGGTGAGATAGAGGATAATGTTGTGCATCGAATTAAATTGGAATGGTTGATATGGTGGAGTGCTTCGGGAGTCTTATGTGATTGTAGAATACCAATGAAACTAAAAGAAAATTTCTAGGACGGTTATAAGACCAACTATACTTTATGGTTCAGAGTGTTAGGCAATTAAAAAAATAACATATTCAAAGAATGAGTGTAGTAGAAATGGGAATGTTGCAATGGTCTTGTGAATATACATTAAAAGATAGGATAAGAAATGATTGCATCCGTAGTAAATTAAAGCTTACTCCTATTGAGGACAAAATAAGAGAGACTAGATTAAGATGGTTTGAGCATGTAAAAAAAGTCCGTTTAGTGCACCGATTAGGAAAAGTGATAATATTATAGTTAATGAGGTTAGGAGATGTAGATGTAGACCTACAATGACTTAGTTAGAAGCAATTAAGAATGATATGATTATGACTAACTTAACGGAGGAGATGACCTATAACAGAATGGAATGGAAAAATAGGATTTGCCCAAACATTTGGTATAAAGGCTTGGTGGTGGTGGTGGTTGTTGTAGCAGTAGACACAGATCCTTGATTCCTAGCTATTGTTGTGAAAATATTTGCCCGTTGTACAGGCAGTAAAAAAGAAAAAGGGTCCTTATATCTTATGATTTGCACAGTTGTAGAGAATAAAGTGTGGCATTCAAGTACTCTTTACTTTTGACTTGCTTTCCTCTATTTTCGTTACAATATGTCATGCTCGCTTGGCTTGTTTTCTTACTTGTTTCAATCTTAGAAATGTGGCACATGAATGAGACCATTGAACTAAAAAGCGTCCCTTTTGTTTTGATATTTCCCCCCCTTTTCCCTTTAAGTTTCCATTGTTTGCAACTACTTATCAAGCCAGCGTTGGCTCGCGCGTTAAAGCGCGAGCCAAACAGCTTTTTCGTAACTTATGTGATACTAAGAGCAAGTACAGTAAACTCCTAGTTAGGAGTGCTTGTTGGAGAGCTCTCAATGCCACATCACATGGTTTTTTTTTCTAAAATTGGGTTTTTGTGTAAAAAATCTCTCTTTTAGTGTAGGTGCCGGCTAAAATGGGGTTTTGTGTAAAAAATTATTTTTTTATTCCTTAGGAGCTCCCAAGCGCTCCACAAATTTGTGGAGCGCTTGGGAGCTCAACTGTGCCCCCACCTCCTACATGATGTCCACATCAGCCTCAAGAGGCCTCTTAGGAGCTTGCTGGAGCGTTTGCAGCAGGCTCCCACTGCCACCTCAGCGTTGGGAGCTGGGGTGACAGCCCGCTGCACTTGCTCTTAGCTCTAGAGAATGCAAAAGAGAGAGTACTCATGAGAGGAATTGATCCTTGGTTGTACCTGAGGTTCTTTGGTTTCTATTTCTAGGTGACAATCCTCCTTACAATCCATTATTAGG